TGCTGTCGCGTTTTTTCTACCCCGAAATGTCCCGAGGTAATCCCGTCGTGTGCCTCCTGCAGTAACAGTTCCCTCAGTAGTGCGTACGCGGGTACCCATATGCGGTTGGTGCATGTTTTTACGTAATAGACTCCTCTGGCCTCTGCCAGTTGCTGTGAATTTCCGGTCGTGAAAAATGGGTCGGTACTGTATCCGTGGGTGAATAGGCATGTTAACAGTGGGTTGGTTTGGGCGAGTAGGATCTGTCGTGGGTTGAGATTCGGTTGGGCGCGAAGGTACTGTAGGGATCGGTGGTCTGTCCGTACTGTCACGTCTGCTCCCGTGAGGTAACATCGCCACACCTTGAACGCGTGCACGATCGCCAGCATTTCGCGGTCGTGTATCGGATAGTTGCGTTCGGGCGGGTGAAGCTTGCGGGACTCGTACGCGATTGGCTGAAGGCCGTTCCCGAAGTCCTGCGACAGTACTGCTCCCACAGCGATGTCGCTAGCGTCGGTGACGAGTTCGAACGGACGGTGCGGATTTGCGATGTGAAGCACGGGCGGTGAGCACAAAAGATTTTTGAGGGCCGAGAAGGCAGCTTGCTCTTTCTCCCCCCACGTGTACTCAACCCCCTTCCTCAGCAGGTCGGTCAACGGGGCAGTCAGCTTCGCCATGTCGGGGACGAACCGGCGCACGTAGTTGACGAACCCCAAAAAACTCTGCAACTCGGTCAAGTTGGTCGGCGCGTGCCATGCTTGAATCGTCGCGATCTTTTTTGGGTCGATTTCCACTCCTGCAGCTGAAATAATGTGTCCCAAAAACTCCAGTCGGTCCTGTAAAAACTCACACTTAGACGCTTTTGCCAGTAGGCGGTTCTCACTCAGTATCTTAAAAACTGCTTCGATGTCCTGTAAGTGCTGTGCTCTGTCGGGGCTGTAAATCAGTATGTCGTCAAGGTACACAATGACGCACTTATCTAAGAGCGGGCGGAAGGCTTCGTTCATGGTCATTTGAAAGGTGGCGGGGGCGTTGGTCAGTCCGAAGGGCATGACGGTGTATTTGAAGGATCCGTAGCGTGTTCGGAAAGCTGTCTTAGGGCAGTCGGGTGGGTTGACGCGAATCTGGTGGTAACCTCCTCGAAGGTCGATTTTCGAGAAAACCCGGGCGGTGCGCAGTTGGTCGATCAGTTCGTCGGCTCGCGGGATGGGGTAACGGGATTTTATGGTAACCCGGTTCAGTGCTCTGTAGTCTATGCACATGCGGAAACCCCCGTCTTTTTTCGGTGTGAACAGTATCGGTGCTGCGAAGGGCGACGAACTAGGGCGAATGAACTCCTTCTCGAGCAGGTAATCCAGCTGCTTCCTCAGTTCGTCCAGTTCGGGTTGGGTCAGTCGGAACTGTCGCTGTACTGTCGGCTGTGCCCCCGGTTCTAGTTCTATCCTGTGGTCGTGCGGTCGCTGAGGTGGCAGTCCCGTCGGTAGGTCGTCCGGGAAGATGTCACTGTACTGCTTCAACAGTGCTGCCAGATCACTCGGTACGTCGGCTAGCAGTTCTTGTAAATCCCCTCCTTTGTCTGCTGCCTCGGCTTCCCAAATATCGACCGCGTACACGTCAGCTCCTGCCGCTACGGCGCGTTTCATCGTGATCGCGTTGACACGCACCGAGCAGGCGAGCCCCAGCGAGGTAAGGTGATGTTGTTACCGTTCACTCGCACAGTGCAGTCACCCGTCGTCCAGTCGATTCGCGGATTGTGTCGTCGCAGCCAATCACGCCCGAGTAAAATATCGGTTCCGTCGAGGGTCGTTGCGAGCATTTCCTGGCTAAACGTGAAGTTACCCCCGCATCGAATCCGAACTCGGTCCACACCTTCCTGTATCGCCAGTGGCGTGCCGTCGACCAGTCTTGCATCGATCTCAGGTAAACATCTGTCCAGTGGCAGTCGCAGTTTTCGTGCTGTGGCAGTGTTGATAAGGCTGTGGCTGGCCCCTCTGTCTACGAAGATTTTAACTAAGTCCGTCCCGATTTTCCCACTAAGCAGTATAGGGCTGTCTACCGTAGTACCCTCCTTATTTGGCTGGGTGTGGTCGATTGCGTGAACCGGCACAATCACTCGGTGAGGGTCGGTTGGGTCGGGCGAGCGGCGTGACCTGTCAGTAGAGGGCCCGTCTGCTACTGACTCCCAGCGTTTCCCTGCTGCTTGGTCTGTTTCTGCTGCTCAGCTTCCCCCTTTCCCTTAGCATTTTCCGGGCATTCGCTCTTACGGTGTCCCGGCCGATTGCACGCAAAGCAGCGCCCTTTGAATGGTGCGGCAGCGGCATTTGCGGCGACGGCACGTATTGTAGCGCCCTCGTTCGTCCCACGAGGCCGATGTCCCCAATTGTTGCTTCCGTAGGACCCCGGTCTCGGTCGGCGGAAGAAATCGAGTTTCTCCGCCATGGCGAGAATCTCCTGAAAATCGGTGACGCCGCGGAGCTGGATTTCCTGAGCGATGTCCTGGTTCAGGCCGCCGATGTAGCGGTCGATGCGTTCGCTCTCGTGCATATAACCCACTTGCTCGCATAGCGCCAGAAACCCGCTCGTGTAGTCTTGGACGGAACCGAGTTGGCGCCAAGTGCGGAGCCTCTGTCGCGCCGCGATCGAAGCTGCAATTGGCTCGAAACGAGCGCGCAGACCTGCGCACCACGCGTCCCACGTGCGATACTGGGGCACCTCCACGAAATACGACGACGCCCAGGGTCCGGTTTGTCCTTCCCGTGTCGATAGAGTCGCGTAGTCCACCGGCTTCGTGACGATGACACGCCACCAGTCCATGGCGGGTCCTCGCAGCAACGACACGGCGTAACGAATCTTCGCCGTATCCTCCGAGACGTAGTTCGCGTCGAAGAAAACATTCAACGTGAAGAGCCACGCCTGAACGGTAGGACCACCCCGCTGACTTGGGTCAAAGCATGGCGGACGCTGCGGCTTCAGCGGCATCGGCGACGGTAAAGCTGATTCGCCGGCCGGCACTGAAATCGTGACTCGAGGCTGATTCCTGGCCGCATTCGTCGCATCGGGGTGTGTCGTGCCGTAGTCGTCGTCTCCGTCATGGCGGACGACGCCATCACTTGCGGCGCTCGCGGGTTGCCCCACACTTCCGTGTTGCGATGTCTGTGGTGCGGGCTGAATCGGAGTGCCAGGTGCTTGGGATTGTGTTCGTGCAAGGTCATTTTGCAGGGAGGTACGTCCCGTCGGTAATGCCGCGATTTCTTCGGAGTTTTCGTGCAGTTGTCGCAGCAGCTCGTCCAGGCGGTCCTGCGTGAGGTTAGTGACGTCGAGATGCTCTGCCATTCCGAAGGGCGTCGGCTCGTCTTAGTCTAGGCGCAGTCGTGGCTGCACGCGTTTACGAGAGAACGCGAGGACAGCAGCTCCTAGGTGCTAAGGTGCGTGTGTCCCTTCGAGTGAAAAATCAAAAGTTGATTTCCTGGGGTGCGGAGATGCGCGGTCCGAAAAGGAACGAGGCTCTGAATACCAAGTGTTACGGGTGCAATGAATCGAAGTAGCGAGGATTGCACTAAGGTGTCAAACGAGTACAAAATGTGAGCGAAGGCATGAGCGAACATTTATACGCGAAACATGCAAACGGTAACGCGGTGCGTGCGAGCTAGCTAGTGCTATGCTGGAAGCGAGGCTCGGGCTATTCCCGAAGCGTAGGCCGACACGGCCAGGCCAGCAGTGCGAGGTTTGGTGAAACAGTGCGCGCGAAGTCGGCGAAGCCCCGTTAGCAGTAACGGGCGAACAACGGCTGCTGCTGTACGCGATGTTGCAGGGCGCGCCAAGGAATATCGAGAAAATTCCTTACAATTATGAATCATAGATCAACCACTTTGCGCTGTACTCTTTATAGTACAGGTCCGTGGTGTGGGGAAACAATTTGTGACACCACGTCATCACCAAGAACCTCGCATCTTGAGGGCTCATTTCTGAACCCAGCGGTAGACTAGGCTTCATTTTGAAGTGCGTGTCAGAGGACACCTGCTGTGCTGTCCGTTGTCGTGGTTTTTACACGATTTCACAATCGGTTTGTGACTCTGCACTCCACAGAAGGACGAACACGCTTTTGAGAGAAATCCCTCACGCGCTGTGAGATTCCATCACTGCAGCAGCATGCTTCCCTAACCAAGAATGACTAGAGTGAACAGCACCCAGCAGCTATTCCTAGAGTGTGTCAGGGAGAAGTGCAGCATCCGGGTCATACATAGGCGACATCCGTCGTTCGTGGCCTGCACTCGATGCTGCTGCTCTCCCCCTCATTCGCACATGCAACGCAGCGCCTTTAGTTGAACTAGCATTCCACATTGCCGAATTGTCAAGGCACCCGTGGCTGCATTCTGTAGCAGCTGAGCGTTGCTGGAGGGGTTAAAATTCGGTACAGTAACTTATCGAGTACCTCTCAACACAATAACTTTATCGCGTGCCTCTTTTTTCGAGTACCTACCTTATCGAGTACCTGTCTGTTGAGTACCCGTCTTATAGTGCGTCATGGCGATGAATGCACCCAATGACGAGTCACGCGAGCTGGAAGACCGCCACGTGGCAGTCTCGCTGGCATCGATTCCGGAGACATCGTCGTTGACGGAACCCCTGCTGACGCGTCGCGAGGTAATGCGCTGCGAATCACGACATAACTGTCGAATCCGAAAACGCTGTGACTTGACAATTGAGTCGGCTCAAAAGTCATAAGGGAATGCGTGCGTGACGTCCTGCCTTCCCCGTTCCTCTGCCAATGTATATCCGAATTGGTTGTCTTCTTGGCCGTTTATATCCGCGGTTACATATTATCTTTCTTTTCCATTGTGTGTTTCATCCTTTGAGAGTAATCAATTTATGCCGTTCAGTAATTTCTTTGGAGAAATTCGATGTATTCTCGTTTACAGAAGATTTACGTCTGCCTTCCTTCTTGTCAAAAATCTTACATAGCAGCTTTTATTCTCTTGCCGCAGATTACCCTTGGCAAGTTTTTTACCTTTCCCCATCCAATGAATCCACCCCCTCGCCCTGCTCGTCGTCTCCCTCTGTGCCTGCCTGCTCGCCACGCTGCTGCTGCCCCGCTCCACCCTGCTCCATCCTCACAGTCACGACCGTCCAGCTTTGCAGCCGATCCCGCTGCTCCCATCTGCTCACTCCCTTCCCTTTACCGTCTTTCCCTCTCCCTCCATCCCTCCACCCCTCCAACCCCCCTCCCCCCCCCCAATCCCCCCACCCCTCCTCCATTACAGCCACCCTCTCGCACTGCTCGGAAGGTGCCCGTGCTGCTCCTCGTCTCCCTCTGTGCCTGCCTGCTCGCCACGCTGCTGCTGCCCCGCTCCACCCTGCTCCACCCTCCGAATCACGACCACCCACCTATGCAGCCGATCCCGCTGCTCCCGCCACACATGCAGATACCAGCAGCCATGCATTCCCTCTCACCGAATAGCAGCAGCAAGCACAGGAACAGCAGCAGCGTTGCACCTGTTCGTTTCTTTGCGTTTGGCGACTGGGGAAGGAACGGCACGTTCAACCAGTCGCTGATCGCCAAGCAGGTACCACCACAGCGAAGGATGCATGCAGCAAGAGGGGCGTAGCAAGGGGATGAGATGAGCAATCACATGACGTGCTATTGAAGGGCTGGGGAAGGAACGGCACGTTCAACCAGTTGCTGATCGCCAAGCAGGTACCACCACAGCGAAGGATGCATGCAGCAAGAGGGGCGTAGCAAGGGGATGAGATGAGCAATCACATTACGTGCTATTGAAGGGCTGGGGAAGGAACGGCACGTTCAACCAGTCGCTGATCGCCAAGCAAGAATCATTGCAAGGGGATGAGCAAGCACATCACATGCTAATGAGAGACTGGGGAAGGAACGGCACGTTCAACCACAACCAGTCGCTGATCACCAAGCAGGCACCACCACAGCAAAGCAAAGCAATCATTGAAAGGTGCCTGCCCGCATGCACCCCCAGTGTTTGAAGTAATGTTTTGAGACGTCTCAAAGCATTAACTTCAACCACAGCAAAGCAACCATTGAAAGGTGCCTGCCCACATGCACCCCCAGTTCGTGGTCTCTCTGGGAGACAGCTTTCTGGAGCTCGGCCTTCCAGACGTCAATGCCCGCCGTTTTTCTAACCAGATCAACAAAGTCAACAAAGTCAACGCAGTCAGACCTCCTTTTCTTCCTTGCCCATCCCCTCATCCCTGCATGCAAACCAGATGGGACTCGTGGGAAGCCGCATGGACCCCCAGTTCGTGGTGTCTCTGGGACAACTTCCTTGAGCTGGGCCTCCCAGACGTGATGCCAACAGCAACCCTTTCCCCACCACCCCATCACCCATCTTACCGTCCCTATCAGATGGGCCTGATCGGAGCCCGCATGCACCCCCAGTTCGTGGTGTCGCTGGGAGACAACTTCCTCGAGCTGGGCCTCCCAGACGTGATGCCAACAGCAACCCTTTCCCCACCACCCCATCACCCATCTTACCGTCCCTATCAGATGGGCCTGATCGGAGCCCGCATGCACCCCCAGTTCGTGGTGTCGCTGGGAGACAACTTCCTCGAGCTGGGCCTCCCAGACATCAATGCTCCCCAGTTTTTCACACTTTGATCAGATTATCCCTATCCCTCACCTCCCATCCTCATGCGAATCAGATGGGCATGGTCGGAGCCCGCATGCACCCGCAGTTTGTGGTGTCGCTGGGAGACAACTTCCTCGAGCTCGGCCTCCCAGATACCAATGCCCCCCAGTTCGCCCAGTCCTTCACGAATATCTACACCCACCGCAGCCTGCACATTCCCTGGTATGCAGGTAAGGCCGCATGTGCTGGTAACCCCATACCTACTTGCTAATGGGTGAGAGTGTTCGCCTGTAGTTGGACTGCGCCGTTCTGAGCTGAATGCCCCACAGTTCGCCCAGTCATTCACCAACATCTACACCCACCGCAGCCAGCAGATCCCCTGGTATGCAGGTGAGGCAGCATGTACCGGTGCGCCCTGTATCTGCTGGTGAACCCCCATGTGTCGGTAAGCCTGTACGTGTCCGTTGGTGTGAGGCGGGTGTGTGCCTGTAGCTGGCCTCCCAGACGTAAATGCTCCCTGGTTCGCCTAGTCATTCACGAATATCTACACCCACCGCAGCCTGCAGATCCCCTGGTATGCAGGTGAGCCCAGTATCTGTGGGTAAGCCCACATGTGCTGGTAAGGCTGTATGTTTTTTTCAGTGTGATTGTTTGTCAGTAGCTGGCCTTCCAGACATCTATCCCCCCTACCTCGCCCAGTCCTTCACAAATGTTCACTCACCACAGATTGCAGATCCCCTGGTATGCAGGTGAGCCCGCATGTGCTGGTAACCCCGTCCGTACCTACATGCTGCTGGTGGGTGAGAGTGTTCGCCTGTACCTGGGCTGGGCTGGGCGGGGCCTTGCAGAGCTGAATGCCCCTCAGTTCGCTCAGTCCTTTTTTGAGGCGCCTCAAAAATAGGCCTTGCAGAGCTGAATGCCCCTCAGTTCGCTCAGTCCTTTTTTGAGGCGCCTCAAAAATAGGCCTTGCAGAGCTGAATGCCCCTCAGTTCGCTCAGTCCTTTTTTGAGGCGCCTCAAAAATAGGCCTTGCAGAGCTGAATGCCCTCCAGTTCGCCCAGTCCTTCACAAATATCTTCACGCACCACAGCCTGCAGCAGATCCCCTGGCATCTAGTTTTGAGACGTCTCAAAACCGCACCACAGCCTGCAGCAGATCCCCTGGCATCTGTGGGAAAGCCCACCCACACGTGCTGGTGAAATTGCTTCTGTCGTTTAGTGCGAGTGTTTGCCTGAAGCTCGGCCTTCCAGATGTCGATGCCCTGCCAGTTTTGGAAAACCAGACTTCCACAGGGACTTGTTAGCTCAGTTGCACGCTGGCTTGGCCAATCACGCACGACCATCCCTCTTTCTTTCCTTCCCCTTCTTCCTTCCCCACCCCCACCGTTCACTGCCAGTCCTGGGAAACCACGACTACTATGGAAACGTGTTAGCCCAGCTACACCCAGTGCTGGCCAATTGCAACTCTTCCTTTCCGCCTTCCCCTTCCGCTTCCCTCTCCCCTTCTCCTTCTCCTTCTCCTTCTCCTTCTCCTTCTCCTTCTCCTTCTCCTTCTCCTTCTCCTTCTCCTTCTCCTTCTCCTCTCCTTCTCCTTCTCCTTCTCCTTCTCCTTCTCCTTCTCCTTCTCCTTCTCCTTCTCCTTCTCCTTCTCCTTCTCCTTCTCCCTCTCCCTCTCCCTCTCCCTCTCCCTCTCCCTCTCCTTCTCCTTCTCCTTCTCCTTCTCCTTCTCCTTCTCCTTCTCCTTCTCCTTCTCCTTCTCCTTCTCCTTCTCCTTCTCCTTCTCCTTCTCCTTCTCCTTCTCCTTCTCCTTCTCCTTCTCCTTCTCCTTCTCCTTCTCCTTCTCCTTCTCCTTCTCCTTCTCCTTCTCCTTCTCCTTCTCCTTCTCCTTCTCCTTCTCCTTCTCCTTCTCCTTCTCCTTCTCCTTCTCCTTCTCCTTCTCCTTCTCCTTCTCCTTCTCCTTCTCCTTCTCCTTCTCCTTCTCCTTCTCCTTCTCCTTCTCCTTCTCCTTCTCCTTCTCCTTCTCCTTCTCCTTCTCCTTCTCCTTCTCCTTCTCCTTCTCCTTCTCCTCCTTCTCCTTCTCCTTCTCCTTCTCCTTCTCCTTCTCCTTCTGTTCGCCATCAGTCCTGGGAAACCATGATTTAACAGGGAACGTGTTAGCCCAGCTACACCCTTCCTTTACTCCCTCCACTTCTCCTTTGCCTTCTCTGTTTGCTTCCCCACCTGTTTGCCTTCAGTCTTGGGAAACCATAACTACTATGGGAACTTGTTAGCCCAGCTACACCCAGCGCTAGCCAATCATTGGCCTTCCTTTTCCCCCTTCCCCTTTCCCCAGTTCTGCGCCAGTCCTGGGAAACTATGACTAATATGGAAACTTGTTGGCCCAGCTGCACCCAGCGCTGGCCACCCTCCCTCACCTCACCCTAGCCTTCTCGTTCTCACTACCCTGCTCCTTCTCCTTCTCGCTACCCTGTTCCTTCTCCTTCTCGCTACCCTGTTCCTTCTCCTTCTCGCTACCCTGTTCCTTCTCCTTCTCGCTACCCTGTTCCTTCTCCTTCTCACTACCCTGTTCCTTCTCCTTCTCACTACCCTGTTCCTTACCACTACCCTGTTCCTTATCAGTCCTGGGAAACCATGACTACTACGGAAACGTGCTAGCCCAGCTACACCCAGCGCTGGCCAATCGCGACCCTCGATGGACCTGCCGCCGCAGCATGGCCCTCTCGCTCCCCATCTGTGCTGAGATGGAGGAGCAGAGCGTTGACCACGTTGACTCACATGGCCAGGGCGTTGACCATGTGGACTCTGTTACTTTGAACAACCAGGGTGGTGACTCTGGTGGGCGGAGCGTTGACCCCGTTGACCCTGTTGACTCAGCTGGCCACGGCGCTGATCGTGTGGACTCTGATAACCAGGGCGCTGACTGCGTTGACTCTGGAGGAGGGCAGGGCGTTGACTGCGTTGACTTTGTTGACCTGTTTCTGTACGACTCGATGCCGCTGATCCCTGCGTACCGGCACAAGGAGGGCCGGCGAGTGGACTGGCGGGGCCTCAACACGGGCAACTGGAGCCGGCAGGAGGAAGCACAGCTGCAGGTGAGGGGCTGACTGCATTGACTCCGTTGACTTTGTTGACCTGATTCACAAGGAGGGCCGGCGGGTGGATTGGAGGGCCGGCGGGTGGATTGGAGGGGCCTGAACATGGGCAACTGGAGCCGCCAGGAGGAGGCACAGCTGCAGGTGAGGGGCGGAAGTAGTACTGTTTGGGTAGGAGGAGGAGGGTGGAATGGGGGTAGAGGAGGGTAGGCGGGTGGACTGAGGGGTGGTGGAATGGAGGGGCCTCAACACGGGCAACTGGAGCAGGCAGGAGGAGGCACGGCTGCAGGTGCGGGAGAGGAGGGATGTTGCATTGACTGCGACTCACGCACATAGACGCGCGCGCGCGCGCGCGCGCACACACACACACACGATATCTGGTGTGCATTCATGCATGAGGCGCACATATGCACAGATCCACGAGTCACCCAAGCATTTTCTTTCGCTCTTTCCCCTGTGTGGCAGGAGCTGGAGGGGTGGCTGAGCAACTCGCAGGCGCGGTGGAAGGTGGTGGGGGCGCACCATCCGGTGTTCAGCTATGGCAAACACGGCGACCAGCCTGAGATGGTCGATAGGATCAAACCCTTGCTGGAGGTGAGGTTGAGGCCTGAAAGGGTAGTCTATGTATAGTCATGTTGTGCGAATTGGTGGTCTTTCTGTCCTGTACCCACACATTTGTTCCACTGTTTTAGCTTCTAACTTCCCATGGGTTATACAAGCACCTGGGTGAGTTGAACCCATTCTCAGATCCATTCAATGCAGGAGAGAGTTTATGCCGAGTGTATTACTTCTGTGGGCTCACACATGGCACACGTGTGTCTCCAAGAGCAAGCATTCAATATTGATTCCCGCCCCAACTCCCCTTACGGCATTCCTATTTGTTTGTGACACTATCAGAAGTACGGTGTAGACGTGTACATCAACGGTCACGATCACAACATGCAGCACATAAAAAAGGATGAGAGGTGAGCCCCCCATTCAATTCTGAGCCCTGATCCCCATCACGGGCTATAATTACTGATCTGGACCTTCGTCTTCCAGCTGTCAGCCCCGTGCTTGGGCACTTATAGCGTGCCCTTTTTTGGCACATGAATTCATTGTCTCTTTCTCTAGTCCTTATCCTAGGGTGCCCTAAAACATTCACCTTTATTTCTCCTACCGACTTTCGCCCCTCTGTCTCCTATCTGATGTCTCCCGTGATTCAGTCCCGTTCACTATTTCACGGTGGGTGGGGGATCCAAGGCGTGGCGAGGCGATGCTCCCCCTGTCGCCCCAGGCCTGCGGTTCTTCTTTCCTGGGCAGGGCTTCAGTTCTCTGGAGGTTTCCAGGAACTCACTGACCGTTAACTTTTATGGTGTTTTTGGAGAGCTCATGTACTCCACCACGCTCAACAAATGATTCTCAATGGTTGATGGGTGCTGTGATAGATGCACAATGGACATATATTTATGAATCAAGCGTGTGATTGTTGCATGTATATTTGCTTTTCAGGAGGACCCCTCCCATGTTTACCCTGGGCTTTTAAAGACTTTGCTCATTACTGGAGGCAGTTACTTTGGGTGCATATTCTGTAGAATGCTTTCAGCTTCGATAATGTCATTTTTTGTCGCGAATGTAAAGAATAAACGATTGCTCTAGTGGTAATCGCGCCATCCCCCAAGCGAGACATTTGCGAAGCCCACCAGCCCAGATGAAGCGCCTCGTCTGGTCTGGACATTTCTCCAAAACCAGACCGAGCCTCACTCCCGAGCCTTTCCCTTGCACGGCACGGTTCCCCTCAAAAGCTGCGTCTGACTAGCCCGAACCAGGAACAGGTTGTGTCTGGGGGTGTCGGTCTGCCGTTTCTCGACACGCATACCTGGAACTCCCAGGAACACGCTCCGCCTCCTGACGGCGTACTCGTGCTGATGAGTCAATTTAGTTGAAGTTGCCGCAATCAACCACGCTGAAATAAGGTCTACCGCACCATACCATGCCTCACCTCTCTCAAACATAATTCGCAAGTTTGGTTCAGCCGAACCACGGCTTGGGAAAGTGGCATCCATCGAAGTTCCCACAGTAAAAACGGAGCCAGTGATTTCCACCCAAGCTCGAGCTCGCCAATACTTGCGAGCAGTGGCGACCCAGTTCACTAACGCGTTATCCTATTAGGGACGACATAGACAAGATTAGCTGATTGGGTCCCTTGTGCGATACGAAGAAACTGATGCTACCTGAGTCCTAAACTAAGCTTCATAAGGATTTTTTTGGCGGTGTAGTGCGATATGAAGTAGATGAATATCATTAATTGCGCAGTCCCAGATAATCGGCTGTCAAACGGAACCAGCTCAATCTTACAGTCGAAAGCTTCTCAGTTCCCAAGTTGTCATTGCTTGTCCCCTGTACGGTTTTCTGTGGACTGCGAGGTCGAGGGTTCGATACATTCGTGTAGCAGGAATGGCAAAAGCGAGTACGGATCCGTTTGACAAGATGTTGCAACGAAGCATTCAGGTTCGTGAGCTTAACTTCTGATCGATACAAACCGCAGAGACCAGTAGGTAGACTGCGGACGTGAGACATACATTTCAATATCTGAAACAATCACGCTGTCAAGACCGCGCAGGTAGTTAGCGTTAGCGTGAGTTAGCAAAGAGCCTGAGCATGTGTAGACAGGGGAGTTCCTAGGCACGGAAAGGAGGGTGTTTTTGAGACGTCTCAATAACACCCTCTTTTCACGTGTAGACAGGGAGTTCCTAGGCACGGAAATTTGAAGAGGTTGAGCTCCAAATACACCAAGGAATGTGGCATCTTTATGCTAAACCTTATGCTGAATTCTACGCCTTGTGAATGCAGGAGCTGCGTGACCTGCAGCCCACCCTATTGGATGCTGCCACGTATGCGGAGGAGGCATATCTTGTCACGGACCAAAAGGACATGTAAGCAACAATGGTATTGTAGCTCGTTTCCTTAGCCTGTCTCCGTACTGTTTGAGCCATTTATCCACCCATCCAGCCATCCAGCCATCCAGCCATCCAGCCATCCAGCCTTCTCCGTGCTATTTCCTCTCTTCTCCTCCACTGTGCTTCTCCCACGCAGAGAGCTGCACAACGTGCGCGACTATGCAGTGAGCATGCTGGTGTCCGTGGTGGACCGCATTGGCTTGTTGCTTGTTTCTGCGTAACCATTTCCCTCCCACCCCTCTATCCATCCGTCCCCAAGCAGAAAGCTGCACAACGTGCGCGACTATGCAGTGAGCATGCTGGTGTCCGTGGTGGACCGCATTGGCTTGTTGCTTGTTTCTGCCTAACCATTTCCCTCCCACCCCTCTATCCATCCGTCCCCAAGCAGAGAGCTGCACAACGTGCGCGGCTGTGCAGTGAGCATGCTGGTGTCCGTGGTGGACCGCATTGGCGCGGCTGCCAACCTCATATCCTTATGCCGTGCTGTTCCCCCTCCTTTCCTCCACTGTGCTTCTCCCACGCAGAGAGCTGCACAACGTGCGGGACCATGCAGTGAGCATGCTCGTGTCCGTGGTGGACAGCATTGGCTTGCTGCTGCTTGATTGTATTGTGACCATCAATCCCTCCCTTCCCCTCGATTCACCTCTCAATCCAGAGAGCTGCACAACGTGAGGGACCATGCAGTGAGCATGCTGGTATCTGTGGTGAATCGCATTGGCGCTGCTACTCAATCGTGCGTGTGTGTGCCCCCTACTCCCTCCCCACGCAGAGAACTCCATAACGTGAGGGATTATGCAGTGAGCATGCTAGTGTCCGTGGTGGACCGCATTGGCGCTGCGGCCGATCGCTTCACCGACGCCGTCTCGCTGCAGGCCAAGGAGATGGCTGCTGCTGACGTCAGAGTCGCGTCAGCTGCCGAGGTATGGGTGTCCATGCATGAGAGCATGTGCGAGATGTGTGTGGGTGGGCGAGCAGGGGAGTGGGTGTCGGTGTGTGTCCACGTGTTTCTGTGCTTGTGTGTGTGGGGGGGAGGTGTCTGTGTGTGCGCGCTCCGTCTCAGGTACGCACGTTCTCGCATGCATGTGTGTCTGGGTGCGGCCGATCGCTTCACCGGCGCCGTCTCGCTGCAGGCCAAGGAGATGGCTGCTGCTGACGTCATGGTCGCGTCGCATGCGGGAATGTGCGTTCGCATGTGTGTGTGGGTGCGTGTAGGCTTACCTTGCATGCACCATCGCATGCATGTGTGTCTGGGTGCGTGTGGTTCATGTGTGTCTCTGTGTGTATGTGTGTGTGTGTGTGGGGGGGGGGGGGGGGGGGGGGGGGGGGGGGGGGAGGAGGGGGGGGGGGAAGGGAAGGGAAGGGTGGGGGTGGGGCTGGGGCGTCGCTTCTGCCTCTGCCATCTTGCATCCTCCTTAGCTTCAGTGGTTCATGTGCGTCTCTGTGTGTATGGGTGTGTATGCGTGTGTGTGTGTGTGTGTGTGTGTGTGTGTGTGTGTGTGTGTGTGTGTTTGTGTGTGTGTCTGTGTCTGTGTGCGGGCTTGTGTGCGGGCTTGTGTGCGCATGTGCATGCGTGCGTACGTGCGATGGTGCACACGCTCGCGCACGTGCGTGCGTGTGTGTGCCCCCCCCTCTTCTATGCTACAGCGAGTGCGGGCGTGTTGGGAATACTCAGGGTGCAATGCACTGAACCGACAGCAGCAGCCTCATCTTCTTTTCCATGTGCCTGATTCCATGCCTATTCTGTGCTGTACTCTCTTTTCATTGCTGCAGCGTGTGCGGGCGTGTTGGGAATACTCAGGGCGCAATGCACTGAACCGACAGCAGCAGCCTCATCTTCTTTTCCATGTGCCTGATTCCATGCCTATTCTGTGCTGTACTCTCTTTTCATTGCTACAGCGAGTGCGGGCGTGTTGGGAATACTCAGGGCGCAATGCACTGAACCGACAGCAGCAGCCTCATCTTCTTTTCCATGTGCCTGATTCCATGCCTATTCTGTGCTGTACTCTCTTTTCATTGCTGCAGCGAGTGCGGGCGTGTTGGGAATACTCAGGGCGCAATGCACTGAACCGACAGCAGCAGCCTCCTTCTTTTTCATGTGCCTGATTCCATGCCTATTCTGTGCTGTACTCTCCTTTCATTGCTGCAGCGAGTGCGGGCGTGTTGGGAGTACTCAGGGCGCAATGCACTGAACCGACAGCAGCAACCCAGGGCAACCAGTCACATGCCCAAGAGCTACCTGCTGCCAGGTAAACCAATCAGGGTGCTGCTTCGATGGCAGTTACTCCTTCTCTTCTCTCCGTTATCCTCCTCCTTCCATGTGTCTCACCTCCGAATGTTCCTTCCTTTCCCTGCTATGCTTCGCTTAAGGCGCTTCATTCTTTCACCCTGTTTCTTTCCGTTTTCCTCCTATCCCCCTCCGATGCCTTCCCTTTCATAGCCGAAGCAGCAGCAGAAGCGTCAACACCAGCACTAGCAGCAGCACGAGCACCATCAGCAGCACCAGCATCAGCGGCTGCAGCAGCAGCAAGCATGGAGCGGGAGTGCTTTCAGTATGGGTCGGGCTACTCTGCCTCCCCTACGAGAGGTGAGTCTTGTTGTGTGAGAGATGAGTTGGGCACAATCTATCAAGTGTTGCAGCAGCAAGCATGGAGCGGGAGTGCTTCCAGTATGGGTCGGGCTATTCTGCCTCCCCTACAAGAGGTGAGTCTCTCTTTCAGTGTGGTGCTTTCCCCAACGAGAAGTGAGTCTTCTTTTGTGAGAGATAAATTGGGCACAATCTATCAAGTGTTGCAGCAGCATGCATGGAACGGGAGTGCTTCCAGTATGGGTCGGGCTATTCTGCCTCGCCTACGAGAGGTGAGTCCGGTCGGATTAGAGCCTCCCCTACAATAGGTGAGCACCAAGTATCATACTTTCCGTGTTCAATCCATCCATCCCATACACATGCACTCACCGCACCCCATTTCCCTCTCACCCATCCTTCCCTCTCTCCCATACATCTCTCCTCTCCCCACACACTCCAGATCCTCGAGGCTCGTCCCAAACAGCCCTCTCCTCCTCGTCACTCCATACACATTCCATCCTGTGCACTCAAACCATCCCTCCTCACCCCTCTCGCCCGTCCATCTCCCCACATCCCACACTCTCCAGACCCTCGAGGCTCGTCCCAAACAGCCCTCTCCTCCTCGTCACTCCTCTCCTCCATGCCCCTTGCCCCCCCTTCTGAAAGGTGTGTACCCGAATGAAATTATACAGGTATTCTCGTGTATACCCCTCTTCCCAACCTTGCGCCAAAGTTCCCTCCCTTGTGGCGCTCTCCTCCTCCCTGCTCCTCCTGCTGTGTCGTTTCCTTTCCGTTCTTTTGTAAAAGCAACTTGTTTAACAAGCTATGAGAGTATGTGCAGTCTTTAAACGCCTCCTCCCCTCCCGCTCCCTCTTCCCCCTTTGCCCATCACTTCCTCTTCACTGTTTAGTGTAGTTCAAACTCTCCCTCCCCTCCCACTCCCCCTTCCCCCTTCGCGCGTCGCTTCCTCCCCTCCACTGTTCCATCCAGCCTTCTTGACAGTCTTGCTTCTTCCTCCCTCGTCCCCCGCTCTGCCACGGCTGGTGAGTACACGGCACACACCAACCGCAGAGTTGCTTCGAAAACTGCCCACACAAAACGCCCCATTCAAACTCTGCGTTACGCAAAGGAAGCCGTTGCGTTGGAAGCAGGAGGGTCGAGTGCTCCTGTCGGTCTGGTTTGGCTCCTGCTGGTCTTGCTTAGGCCGTTTGTTTGGGGATCTCAAGAGCCTCTGTGAACAATAGCAAGGACTTCATGAGTCGATTTTTGAGTCGACTCAAAAATCGCTTAGGCTGTTTGTTTGGGGATCTCTGTGAGCCTCTGTGAGCCTCTGTGAGCCTCTGTGAACAATAACAAGGACTTCATGCCTTTGAGTTGGTACTACCAAGTTTTGAGACGTCTCATAACTTGCTTAGGCCGTTTGTTTGGGAATCTCAAGAGCCTCTGTGAACAATAGCAAGGACTTCATGCCTTTGAGTTGGCACCAAGTGAGGGTTCAGGGTTTAGGTGTAGGTTGCTGTCTTCCTGCTTAAAACACCCAGTTTACTCATTTGCTTGTTTCTTCTATCGTTCCCATCTCTGTGTTTCAGGTATGCCATCCGTCCGTGCGTCTCTTGACTGCTTAGCTGGTCTACCACCCTCCTCCTCCTCCACTTTGTCGTCCTCCTCCTTCCCCTCCTTTTCGTCCTCCTTCCCCTCCTCCTCTACCGTTCCCCACTCCTCATCAACCCTCTCCAACCCATCGGCAGCAACACCACACTCTGCTGACAAGATACTGTCGCGGAAACAATCACACTCACACAACCTCTCTCACTCACCCAACTTTTCGCACTCGCCCAACCTCTCGCACTCTCACAACCTCCCCCATTTCTCCAACCTCTCTCGCTCGCACAACCTCTCGCAGTCTCACGGACTCATGCACTCTCTCTCTCACTCCCTCTCGCAACACATGGGACACCGAGGCTCGCACGCTCGATTAAGCAAGGTACTACGATCTCCATTGCAAAAATATAATGTAACACATTTTCCAACCTCTATTTCTATATCCTTTTTTACTTTTACACCCAGAAACTCCTCGCTTCCGCTTGTGTAATTCCTTGCCCTTTGTTCTTCCACCCCCCACAGGTGCCCACTCCACCCAAACCCCATGGCCCTCTAATTGCCTCCTTGCTGCACAGGAGACAGGTTTCGGGCATTAATGAAGTGAAAGGGATCAGCGACCCTCTACTGCAGTGTGCCACCCCTCGTTTACAGCAGCCCACAATTCTCTGAACAGTTCACATCCCCTTATACTCACTTGAATCCCCTCTTCTCCTCTCCCACTCCGTTCCCACAGGAGCCTACCACTCCCAAGGGGCACTTCTCCCTCGTCGCCTCCTCGTTGCACGCTGGAGGGGCTTCAGGTGTTGATGACGTGGAGGGCAGTGATAGGAGGTCCACCACGCCACATCGGCGCGGCCGGCAGCTTCTGAAAAATATCTTCTCACGTGGCGCTGGTGGTGCTGCTGGTGCTGGTGCTGCTGGTGGTGCTGGTGGTGCTGGTGCTGGTGCTGCTGGTGCCAGTGGTGCGTTGGGGGATGGTAGTGGCGGTTATACGAGCACTCAGAGAGCCCATGATGGAGGGTACTCCGGACACCTGTGACGTGTGGTTACACCTGATGATAGTCCAAGCCAAGGTCGTTCGTGAGATGTCATGCTGCCAGTGGTGCGTTGGGGGATGGTAATGGCGGTTATAACAGCACTCGAAGAGCCCATGATCGGGGGTTCTCCGGACACCTGTGACGTGCTGTTACACCTGATGGTTGTCGAAGGTCATGCGATGCAACGTGACAATGCTGCTGCTGCCGATGCTGGTGCTGGTGCTGTTGGTGGTGCCAGAGATTTGACTCATCTGTAATTAGTCACGAGTTACGAGTCATAGACAAAGCACATACCGTACGAAGTACATATAGGTACATTCTTTTTTTGGGCAGCTGTAATTTAGGGTACTACATTCATGCGAGGACATGTCTCAAATGTAGGCGTCGCAATCACTAAAAACCGCGTTCCGCGTAAATATGTTAATCCTGGTCTGGCTGGCTGGCCGCCTCCGCAACCCGAAGTAATACGGTAGTTACTTTAGTTAGGCTGATTTCTTCGCAGGGTACCAAAGCAAGCGCATGAACAAAGTCCTCGTACACATAAGTTCTCTCAATGAACCCCTTCAACCAGTGAGCAGCAGCTGCACACACCACTTTTGAGACGCCTCAGAAATGCCACCTTGGTGCTCTTGATATTTGCAACCTGTGAGTTTACTTCTTCGCAGGGTACCAAAGCGCATGAACAAAGTCCTCATACACATAATTCCTCTCAACGAATCCCTTCAACCAGTGGGCAGCAGCCGCACACACCACCGCAGCAGCCGCTGCAAAAACAGCACCCATGGGGCCCGCAGCTTGCCGAATAGCAGGGGGGGCGAGGGGAAGAAGGGCGGTGGCGACGAGAAGGAGGAGCGAGGCGGCCCAGAGGGCGGTGCGGAGGCGGTCAGACCAGCGCTGCACCCGCTGGCAGTCGGGGCACAGCCGCACGTGGAATCGCTGCCTGCGGGTGGGGGAGAGGGGGTGGGGCCGGTGGGGGAGGGTTGAGGCGCTCAAAAGGCCAGTGCTGCACTCGTTGGCAGTCGGGGCACAGCCACACATGGAAGGGCTGCCTGTTTGAGGGCGGGGGGGGGAAGGATAGGGGGAGGGGAGGGGGTTGAGGGGCAGGCATGTACCCTGCCTGCCTAAAAAGACCAGCACTGCACCCGCTGGCAGTGGGGGCACAGCCGCACGTGGAAGCGCTTCTCAAGTGGAGGCAACAAGAGCACATGAACAGCTAGGAAATAAGCTTCTTCTTCCTCTGCCCTCTGACCTCGACTTGACCAAAACTGGCAAAACGGCCAGCCTGCACATTCCCTGGTATGCAGGTAAGGCCGCATGTGCTGGTAACCCCATACCTACTTGCTAATGGGTGAGAGTGTTCGCCTGTAGTTGGACTGCGCCGTTCTGAGCTGAATGCCCCACAGTTCGCCCAGTCATTCACCAACATCTACACCCACCGCAGCCAGCAGATCCCCTGGTATGCAGGTGAGGCAGCATGTACCGGTGCGCCCTGTATCTGCTGGTGAACCCCCATGTGTCGGTAAGCCTGTACGTGTCGGTTGGTGTGAGGCGGGTGTGTGCCTGTAGCTGGCCTCCCAGACGTAAATGCTCCCTGGTTCGCCTAGTCATTCACGAATATCTACACCCACCGCAGCCTGCAGATCCCCTGGTATGCAGGTGAGCCCAGTATCTGTGGGTAAGCCCACATGTGCTGGTAAGGCTGTATGTTTTTTTCAGTGTGATTGTTTGTCAGTAGCTGGCCTTCCAGACATCTATCCCCCCTACCTCGCCCAGTCCTTCACAAATGTTCACTCACCACAGATTGCAGATCCCCTGGTATGCAGGTGAGCCCGCATGTGCTGGTAACCCCGTCCGTACCTACATGCTGCTGGTGGGTGAGAGTGTTCGCCTGTACCTGGGCTGGGCTGGGCGGGGCCTTGCAGAGCTGAATGCCCCTCAGTTCGCTCAGTCCTTTTTTGAGGCGCCTCAAAAATAGGCCTTGCAGAGCTGAATGCCCCTCAGTTCGCTCAGTCCTTTTTTGAGGCGCCTCAAAAATAGGCCTTGCAGAGCTGAATGCCCCTCAGTTCGCTCAGTCCTTTTTTGAGGCGCCTCAAAAATAGGCCTTGCAGAGCTGAATGCCCTCCAGTTCGCCCAGTCCTTCACAAATATCTTCACGCACCACAGCCTGCAGCAGATCCCCTGGCATCTAGTTTTGAGACGTCTCAAAACCGCACCACAGCCTGCAGCAGATCCCCTGGCATCTGTGGGAAAGCCCACCCACACGTGCTGGTGAAATTGCTTCTGTCGTTTAGTGCGAGTGTTTGCCTGAAGCTCGGCCTTCCAGATGTCGATGCCCTGCCAGTTTTGGAAAACCAGACTTCCACAGGGACTTGTTAGCTCAGTTGCACGCTGGCTTGGCCAATCACGCACGACCATCCCTCTTTCTTTCCTTCCCCTTCTTCCTTCCCCACCCCCACCGTTCACTGCCAGTCCTGGGAAACCACGACTACTATGGAAACGTGTTAGCCCAGCTACACCCAGTGCTGGCCAATTGCAACTCTTCCTTTCCGCCTTCCCCTTCCGCTTCCCTCTCCCCTTCTCCTTCTCCTTCTCCTTCTCCTTCTCCTTCTCCTTCTCCTTCTCCTTCTCCTTCTCCTTCTCCTTCTCCTTCTCCCTCTCCTTCTCCTTCTCCTTCTCCTTCTCCTTCTCCTTCTCCTTCTCCTTCTCCTTCTCCTTCTCCTTCTCCTTCTCCCTCTCCCTCTCCCTCTCCCTCTCCCTCTCCCTCTCCCTCTCCCTCTCCCTCTCCTTCTCCTTCTCCTTCTCCTTCTCCTTCTCCTTCTCCTTCTCCTTCTCCTTCTCCTTCTCCTTCTCCTTCTCCTTCTCCTTCTCCTTCTCCTTCTCCTTCTCCTTCTCCTTCTCCTTCTCCTTCTCCTTCTCCTTCTCCTTCTCCTTCTCCTTCTCCTTCTCCTTCTCCTTCTCCTTCTCCTTCTCCTTCTCCTTCTCCTTCTCCTTCTCCTTCTCCTTCTCCTTCTCCTTCTCCTTCTCCTTCTCCTTCTACTTCTCCTTCTCCTTCTCCTTCTCCTTCTCCTTCTCCTTCTCCTTCTCCTTCTCCTTCTCCTTCTCCTTCTCCTCCTTCTCCTTCTCCTTCTCCTTCTCCTTCTCCTTCTGTTCGCCATCAGTCCTGGGAAACCATGATTTAACAGGGAACGTGTTAGCCCAGCTACACCCTTCCTTTACTCCCTCCACTTCTCCTTTGCCTTCTCTGTTTGCTTCCCCACCTGTTTGCCTTCAGTCTTGGGAAACCATAACTACTATGGGAACTTGTTAGCCCAGCTACACCCAGCGCTAGCCAATCATTGGCCTTCCTTTTCCCCCTTCCCCTTTCCCCAGTTCTGCGCCAGTCCTGGGAAACTATGACTAATATGGAAACTTGTTGGCCCAGCTGCACCCAGCGCTGGCCACCCTCCCTCACCTCACCCTAGCCTTCTCGTTCTCACTACCCTGCTCCTTCTCCTTCTCGCTACCCTGTTCCTTCTCCTTCTCGCTACCCTGTTCCTTCTCCTTCTCGCTACCCTGTTCCTTCTCCTTCTCGCTACCCTGTTCCTTCTCCTTCTCACTACCCTGTTCCTTCTCCTTCTCACTACCCTGTTCCTTACCACTACCCTGTTCCTTATCAGTCCTGGGAAACCATGACTACTACGGAAACGTGCTAGCCCAGCTACACCCAGCGCTGGCCAATCGCGACCCTCGATGGACCTGCCGCCGCAGCATGGCCCTCTCGCTCCCCATCTGTGCTGAGATGGAGGAGCAGAGCGTTGACCACGTTGACTCACATGGCCAGGGCGTTGACCATGTGGACTCTGTTACTTTGAACAACCAGGGTGGTGACTCTGGTGGGCGGAGCGTTGACCCCGTTGACCCTGTTGACTCAGCTGGCCACGGCGCTGATCGTGTGGACTCTGATAACCAGGGCGCTGACTGCGTTGACTCTGGAGGAGGGCAGGGCGTTGACTGCGTTGACTTTGTTGACCTGTTTCTGTACGACTCGATGCCGCTGATCCCTGCGTACCGGCACAAGGAGGGCCGGCGAGTGGACTGGCGGGGCCTCAACACGGGCAACTGGAGCCGGCAGGAGGAAGCACAGCTGCAGGTGAGGGGCTGACTGCATTGACTCCGTTGACTTTGTTGACCTGATTCACAAGGAGGGCCGGCGGGTGGATTGGAGGGCCGGCGGGTGGATTGGAGGGGCCTGAACATGGGCAACTGGAGCCGCCAGGAGGAGGCACAGCTGCAGGTGAGGGGCGGAAGTAGTACTGTTTGGGTAGGAGGAGGAGGGTGGAATGGGGGTAGAGGAGGGTAGGCGGGTGGACTGAGGGGTGGTGGAATGGAGGGGCCTCAACACGGGCAACTGGAGCAGGCAGGAGGAGGCACGGCTGCAGGTGCGGGAGAGGAGGGATGTTGCATTGACTGCGACTCACGCACATAGACGCGCGCGCGCGCGCGCGCGCGCACACACACACACACGATATCTGGTGTGCATTCATGCATGAGGCGCACATATGCACAGATCCACGAGTCACCCAAGCATTTTCTTTCGCTCTTTCCCCTGTGTGGCAGGAGCTGGAGGGGTGGCTGAGCAACTCGCAGGCGCGGTGGAAGGTGGTGGGGGCGCACCATCCGGTGTTCAGCTATGGCAAACACGGCGACCAGCCTGAGATGGTCGATAGGATCAAACCCTTGCTGGAGGTGAGGTTGAGGCCTGAAAGGGTAGTCTATGTATAGTCATGTTGTGCGAATTGGTGGTCTTTCTGTCCTGTACCCACACATTTGTTCCACTGTTTTAGCTTCTAACTTCCCATGGGTTATACAAGCACCTGGGTGAGTTGAACCCATTCTCAGATCCATTCAATGCAGGAGAGAGTTTATGCCGAGTGTATTACTTCTGTGGGCTCACACATGGCACACGTGTGTCTCCAAGAGCAAGCATTCAATATTGATTCCCGCCCCAACTCCCCTTACGGCATTCCTATTTGTTTGTGACACTATCAGAAGTACGGTGTAGACGTGTACATCAACGGTCACGATCACAACATGCAGCACATAAAAAAGGATGAGAGGTGAGCCCCCCATTCAATTCTGAGCCCTGATCCCCATCACGGGCTATAATTACTGATCTGGACCTTCGTCTTCCAGCTGTCAGCCCCGTGCTTGGGCACTTATAGCGTGCCCTTTTTTGGCACATGAATTCATTGTCTCTTTCTCTAGTCCTTATCCTAGGGTGCCCTAAAACATTCACCTTTATTTCTCCTACCGACTTTCGCCCCTCTGTCTCCTATCTGATGTCTCCCGTGATTCAGTCCCGTTCACTATTTCACGGTGGGTGGGGGATCCAAGGCGTGGCGAGGCGATGCTCCCCCTGTCGCCCCAGGCCTGCGGTTCTTCTTTCCTGGGCAGGGCTTCAGTTCTCTGGAGGTTTCCAGGAACTCACTGACCGTTAACTTTTATGGTGTTTTTGGAGAGCTCATGTACTCCACCACGCTCAACAAATGATTCTCAATGGTTGATGGGTGCTGTGATAGATGCACAATGGACATATATTTATGAATCAAGCGTGTGATTGTTGCATGTATATTTGCATGTACCCTGCCTGCCTAAAAAGACCAGCACTGCACCCGCTGGCAGTGGGGGCACAGCCGCACGTGGAAGCGCTTCTCAAGTGGAGGCAACAAGAGCACATGAACAGCTAGGAAATAAGCTTCTTCTTCCTCTGCCCTCTGACCTCGACTTGACCAAAACTGGCAAAACGGTCAAAACTGGCTTCTCACCTGTCAAGAATCTCCCGCCTCGACTTGGCTGGGGGGAGCTCTGGATTCACGTAGGCAGGAAAGCGGGCCTTGCCGCCCGCAAACCTGAGCAGCCAGGAGCGATAGGCCGAGACGAACGAGTCGGCTGACGTGGGAGTGTAGTAGCTCTTTACCCCCTGCACTGCCCCTCCCTCTTCCTCCAGCCGCCGCTCCTGCAGGCACAGACAAGGAGTGGTAAGGCAGAGAGAAAGGTGAGAAAGAAGCGAGGATCGAAGGTCGAGACAAGCGAGTAGGACGACGTGGGAGTGTAGTAGCTCTTTACCCCCTGCACCGCCCCTCCCTCTTCCTCCAGCCGCCGCTCCTGTATGCACAGACAATAAGTGGTAAGGCAGAGAGAAAGGTGAGAGAGAATCATACACCAAGGGAAATACCGTGGGGTGCATTGTGTATTCCACTAGCCGTACCGTGAGGTGCAGCAACGGGTGGTCGGTGTCTAGCACTTTCATGCGAGTCAAGTGCACGAACCACTTGGCGGGGGGAAGGGCATCCAGGCAGGCACTCGTTTCCAGTTCAGACACCAAGTGTGCGAGATGCACAACAGCGTCCTCTGAAAAAACGTACCGTGAGGTGCAGCAAAGGGTGGTCGGTGTCGAGCACTTTCATCCTTGTCAGGTGCACGAACCACTCGGGGGGCAGAGGTGGGAGAGGCACTTACTAGCCCATCGGCAGCAATCATGTAGTGTGATAGAGTCTACAGAGATTAACACACCAAGGGAAATACCATGGGGTGCATTGTGTATTCCACTAGCCGTACCGTGAGGTGCAGCAACGGGTGGTCGGTGTCTAGCACTTTCATCCTTGTCAAGTGCACGAACCACTCGGGGGAGGGGGGGAAGGGCATCCAGGCAGGCACTCGTTTCCAGTTCAGACACCAAGTGTGCGAGATGCACAATAGCGCCTTCTGAAAACATGTACCGTGAGGTGCAGCAAAGGGTGGTCGGTGTCTAGCACTTTCATCCTTGTCAAGTGGACGAACCACTCGGGGGGCATGGGCACCCAGGGGGGGATGATGTTGTTCATGAAGAACCAGATGAGGCGGCTCTGCCCCGGCAGGCGGGGAATGCAGTGGAAGAAGAGAATTGCCGTCCGCTGCTTCTTGCCCGACCCCTCTGGCTGCTCAGAATACGGTGTGGGGAGGGACGTGCGGTGGGGGGAGAGGGAGAGAAGGGGGTGGAGGGTCCAGGGGGGGAGAACGGGGGAAGGGGGAAGAAGAGTGAGAGAGCAGGGTCAATTTGAAGTTGATTCAAGGTACAGACCACTCGGGGGCATGGGCACCCAGGGGGGGATGATGTTGTTCATGAAGAACCAGATGAGGCGGCTCTGCCCCGGCAGGCGGGGAATGCAGTGGAAGAAGAGGATTGCCGTCCGCTGCTTCTTGCCCGACCCCTCTGCCTGCAATTTGGGTGAATAACGGGAAGAATTTGGGGGGGGAGGTGGGAGAATGTGAAAGAAACCGGGGTAGAAAAAGGGGGAATGAAAAAAGGAAGGATGAAAGGCTGCCAAATTCGAGAATTCTCAAAAGTGACTCCATTATAACTGAGACAAGGAAGGGTGGGAGGGTGACAAAACAGGGAAGCGGAGGACACGAGAGCAATGGCCCCACTATTAAAAAACGTCACGGAGAATGACCTTTTTTGCTTATAACGATGAGAGCTCACCACTTTCCCCCCGATGAAGAGCTTCTGAAGGAGTGTGCGTAGAGGGACCACAGCAGCTGGGGCAAAAATTGTAAACCTAAAGAAGACTATTGTGATCATAGTGAGCTCACCACTTTTCCCCCGATGAAGAGCTTCTGAAGGAGCGTGCAGGGAGGGCCCACAGCAGCTGGAAACGAAATCGGTAGGCACTGGAACGAAACGATTGTGAATATAATGAAGGGAGCGTACCACTTTTCCTCCGATGAGCAGCTTCTGAATGAGCGTGCAGGGGGGGACCACAGCAGCTGGGCCGCCCAGAAAGCTAGTTCCCTCAATTCCCCGTGGGGTGATGCTCGTTACCACCATGGATGGCATTGGCCTCGCCTTGTTGCGATCACCCTGGGGTTGAAGATTGGGAACGTGGGAGGGCATACAGTGGAATATGGCGAAAGACATAGGCTTGTCTCATCGATGCCCCGTGGGGTGATGCTGGTTACCACCATGGACGGCAATGGCCCTTCCTTGTTGCGATCACCCCGCGGTTGAAGATTGGGAACGTGGGAGGGCATACAGTGGAATATGGCGAAAGACATAGGCTTGTCTCATCGATGCTTTGTGGGGTGATGCTGGTTACCACCATGGACGGCAATGGCCCTTCCTTGTTGCGATCACCCCGCGGTTGAAGATTGGGAACGTGGGAGGGCATACAGTGGAATATGGCGAAAGACATAGGCTTGTCTCATCGATGCTTTGTGGGGTGATGCTGGTTACCACCATGGATGGCATTGGCCTCGCCTTGTTGCGATCACCCTGTGGGAGGTATTCGGGTGGGTGGTGAGGAGGATAAAATGTTTTTTTCCCTCAATGCCCCGTGTGGTGATGCTGGTTACCGCCACGGACGGTAGTGGCTCGCCTTGTTACGATCTGGGAACGTGGGAGGGTATACAGTGGAATATAGAAGAAGACACAAGGCTTGTCTCATCGATGCTTCATGGGGTGATGCTGGATACCACCATGGACGGCAGTGGGGTATGCAGCTGTATTTAGTTTGGCATGGATGGCAGTGGCCCTGTATTGTTACGATCAGCCTGTGGTTAAAGATTGGGAACGTGGGCTGCGTACTGGTGATGGACGAGGCGAAGGGAACATCTGCTGGGGCCAGACAGACAGATGACGTGGATCTCAAGAATTGACCCAACATGCATGGATATCAGAGCCTAGTAACGTGAATCATCGCTCCTACGTCCCCCCCCCACCTGGTACGTGTGATGGGCGAGGCGACGGGAATATATGCTGGGGCCAGACAAACAGGTGACGTGGATCTCAAGAATGGACCTGGCATGAACGAGTATCATACCCTAGTAACGTGGGTTATCGCTCCCCACCCTGGTACTTGTGATGAGCCAGGCGAAGGGAACAAATGTTGCTTCCAGACAGACAGGTGAAGTGGGTCTCAAGAATGGATCTTACGTATATGGATGTGACCCAAATATGGGTTATCGCTCCCACGCCCCCACCTAGTAGTTGTGATGGGCAAGGCGAAGGGAATATGTGCTAGGGCCAGACAGACAAGCGATGTGGATCCCAAGCATGGATGCAACATGCATGGATATCACAGCCTAGTAACGAGGGTTATCGCTCCTGCGTCTCCTTTTGAGTCGACTCAAAAGTCACCTCATGGATGCAACATGCATGGATATCACAGCCTAGTAACGAGGGTTATCGCTCCTGCGTCTCCTTTTGAGTCGACTCAAAAGTCACCTCATGGATGCAACATGCATGGATATCACAGCCTAGTAACGAGGGTTATCGCTCCTGCGTCTCCTTTTGAGTCGACTCAAAAGTCACCTCATGGATGCAACATGCATGGATATCACAGCCTAGTAACGAGGGTTATCGCTCCTGCGTCTCCTTTTGAGTCGACTCAAAAGTCACCTCATGGATGCAACATGCATGGATATCACAGCCTAGTAACGAGGGTTATCGCTCCTGCGTCTCCTTTTGAGTCGACTCAAAAGTCACCTCATGGATGCAACATGCATGGATATCACAGCCTAGTAACGAGGGTTATCGCTCCTGCGTCTCCTTTTGAGTCGACTCAAAAGTCACCTCATGGATGCAACATGCATGGATATCACAGCCTAGTAACGAGGGTTATCGCTCCTGCGTCTCCTTTTGAGTCGACTCAAAAGTCACCTCATGGATGCAACATGCATGGATATCACAGCCTAGTAACGAGGGTTATCGCTCCTGCGTCTCCTTTTGAGTCGACTCAAAAGTCACCTCATGGATGCAACATGCATGGATATCACAGCCTAGTAACGAGGGTTATCGCTCCTGCGTCTCCTTTTGAGTCGACTCAAAAGTCACCTCATGGATGCAACATGCATGGATATCACAGCCTAGTAACGAGGGTTATCGCTCCTGCGTCTCCTTTTGAGTCGACTCAAAAGTCACCTCATGGATGCAACATGCATGGATATCACAGCCTAGTAACGAGGGTTATCGCTCCTGCGTCTCCTTTTGAGTCGACTCAAAAGTCACCTCATGGATGCAACATGCATGGATATCACAGCCTAGTAACGAGGGTTATCGCTCCTGCGTCTCCTTTTGAGTCGACTCAAAAGTCACCTCATGGATGCAACATGCATGGATATCACAGCCTAGTAACGAGGGTTATCGCTCCTGCGTCTCCTTTTGAGTCGACTCAAAAGTCACCTCATGGATGCAACATGCATGGATATCACAGCCTAGTAACGAGGGTTATCGCTCCTGCGTCTCCTTTTGAGTCGACTCAAAAGTCACCTCATGGATGCAACATGCATGGATATCACAGCCTAGTAACGAGGGTTATCGCTCCTGCGTCTCCTTTTGAGTCGACTCAAAAGTCACCTCATGGATGCAACATGCATGGATATCACAGCCTAGTAACGAGGGTTATCGCTCCTGCGTCTCCTTTTGAGTCGACTCAAAAGTCACCTCATGGATGCAACATGCATGGATATCACAGCCTAGTAACGAGGGTTATCGCTCCTGCGTCTCCTTTTGAGTCGACTCAAAAGTCACCTCATGGATGCAACATGCATGGATATCACAGCCTAGTAACGAGGGTTATCGCTCCTGCGTCTCCTTTTGAGTCGACTCAAAAGTCACCTCATGGATGCAACATGCATGGATATCACAGCCTAGTAACGAGGGTTATCGCTCCTGCGTCTCCTTTTGAGTCGACTCAAAAGTCACCTCATGGATGCAACATGCATGGATATCACAGCCTAGTAACGAGGGTTATCGCTCCTGCGTCTCCTTTTGAGTCGACTCAAAAGTCACCTCATGGATGCAACATGCATGGATATCACAGCCTAGTAACGAGGGTTATCGCTCCTGCGTCTCCTTTTGAGTCGACTCAAAAGTCACCTCATGGATGCTACATGCATGGATATCACAGCCTAGTAACGAGGGTTATCGCTCCTGCGTCTCCTTTTGAGTCGACTCAAAAGTCACCTCATGGATGCTACATGCATGGATATCACAGCCTAGTAACGAGGGTTATCGCTCCTGCGTCTCCTTTTGAGTCGACTCAAAAGTCACCTCATGGATGCTACATGCATGGATATCACAGCCTAGTAACGAGGGTTATCGCTCCTGCGTCTCCTTTTGAGTCGACTCAAAAGTCACCTCATGGATGCAACATGCATGGATATCACAGCCTAGTAACGAGGGTTATCGCTCCTGCGTCTCCTTTTGAGTCGACTCAAAAGTCACCTCATGGATGCTACATGCATGGATATCACAGCCTAGTAACGAGGGTTATCGCTCCTGCGTCTCCTTTTGAGTCGACTCAAAAGTCACCTCATGGATGCAACATGCATGGATATCACAGCCTAGTAACGAGGGTTATCGCTCCTGCGTCTCCTTTTGAGTCGACTCAAAAGTCACCTCATGGATGCAACATGCATGGATATCACAGCCTAGTAACGAGGGTTATCGCTCCTGCGTCTCCTTTTGAGTCGACTCAAAAGTCACCTCATGGATGCAACATGCATGGATATCACAGCCTAGTAACGAGGGTTATCGCTCCTGCGTCTCCTTTTGAGTCGACTCAAAAGTCACCTCATGGATGCTACATGCATGGATATCACAGCCTAGTAACGAGGGTTATCGCTCCTGCGTCTCCTTTTGAGTCGACTCAAAAGTCACCTCATGGATGCTACATGCATGGATATCACAGCCTAGTAACGAGGGTTATCGCTCCTGCGTCTCCTTTTGAGTCGACTCAAAAGTCACCTCATGGATGCTACATGCATGGATATCACAGCCTAGTAACGAGGGTTATCGCTCCTGCGTCTCCTTTTGAGTCGACTCAAAAGTCACCTCATGGATGCAACATGCATGGATATCACAGCCTAGTAACGAGGGTTATCGCTCCTGCGTCTCCTTTTGAGTCGACTCAAAAGTCACCTCATGGATGCTACATGCATGGATATCACAGCCTAGTAACGAGGGTTATCGCTCCTGCGTCTCCTTTTGAGTCGACTCAAAAGTCACCTCATGGATGCAACATGCATGGATATCACAGCCTAGTAACGAGGGTTATCGCTCCTGCGTCTCCTTTTGAGTCGACTCAAAAGTCACCTCATGGATGCAACATGCATGGATATCACAGCCTAGTAACGAGGGTTATCGCTCCTGCGTCTCCTTTTGAGTCGACTCAAAAGTCACCTCATGGATGCAACATGCATGGATATCACAGCCTAGTAACGAGGGTTATCGCTCCTGCGTCTCCTTTTGAGTCGACTCAAAAGTCACCTCATGGATGCAACATGCATGGATATCACAGCCTAGTAACGAGGGTTATCGCTCCTGCGTCTCCTTTTGAGTCGACTCAAAAGTCACCTCATGGATGCAACATGCATGGATATCACAGCCTAGTAACGAGGGTTATCGCTCCTGCGTCTCCTTTTGAGTCGACTCAAAAGTCACCTCATGGATGCTACATGCATGGATATCACAGCCTAGTAACGAGGGTTATCGCTCCTGCGTCTCCTTTTGAGTCGACTCAAAAGTCACCTCATGGATGCTACATGCATGGATATCACAGCCTAGTAACGAGGGTTATCGCTCCTGCGTCTCCTTTTGAGTCGACTCAAAAGTCACCTCATGGATGCAACATGCATGGATATCACAGCCTAGTAACGAGGGTTATCGCTCCTGCGTCTCCTTTTGAGTCGACTCAAAAGTCACCTCATGGATGCTAACATGCATGGATATCACAGCCTAGTAACGAGGGTTATCGCTCCTGCGTCTCCTTTTGAGTCGACTCAAAAGTCACCTCATGGATGCTACATGCATGGATATCACAGCCTAGTAACGAGGGTTATCGCTCCTGCGTCTCCTTTTGAGTCGACTCAAAAGTCACCTCATGGATGCAACATGCATGGATATCACAGCCTAGTAAC